AAAAGGAGGCCAGAAGTGTCCATCCCAGTATGCATTTACTCTCTCTGATGTATGCTTAGTCACATAGAATTCTACTTTTCCATCTAGAGGTGAGATAATTAAATGCAACACAATCATTTGCTAATCTAAAACAAACAACAATTCACATTATTTTAATAATCACTTTTAGTACTTAGAGATGTAATAGAAAAAGGCTTTCCCACCATAACAAAAAATTAAATTTGTTCCCAGTGTTCTCTTTTTGATGTAGCATCCTCTGTGTATGGTGAGCAATATGTGCATAAAATGAAAATATTACCAGAAAACTTTGATATATAACATTTGTTAAGAATTTTTTTCTTCCATAATGAGTATTTGACTCTAGCTGCCTATGTATTTCAAATAAAATCTTTCCATAATGTTGAGGAATAAAACTGGGAGAAAATGTATTTTGAACAGTATAAAATGCCAAAACCATCTTGTGGAGAATTCCTCCAGCCACTACAATGTCTGCAGCAATGGCATATTTGACATTCTAGTCAATTTTTATACTAAGACATGCTTTTGTCATCTTTTGAAAATAAGCAAGAGGCAGTGGTTTCAGTAATAATATTTCCAAAGGATCCATCCTTTAGCCTTATCATTTCTTGCACTAAACAAACCTTTCTGTTGCTACCCATGATGTGTGTTACTATACTTGGCTTTCATAAAATGTGCATGAGAGTTTCTGAGCAAGTCATATCATTTAAATTTTTTATGTAAAGCTACAAATTACATGTTTCTCATTTTTTGTATATCTAAGGTGATACACCGAGGTCTGATTTTCAGATAAAGGCAATGGCAACTGCAAATGAAGCCCTTTTGCATATGAGATGGGTTGCACAAGCCTATTTTGCTCTGAAAAATGAGTTTCCAATTGTTTCCAATTTGCCAGTTGAAAACTGTGAAAAAAAAGAATTTTCTAATTTTCTTAATACCTTGGTTCCAAAATTATAAAACGGAGATTTTCATCACTCCTTACTACTCTGAAGTTTCCCAAAAGAACTGTATTACGACATGAATCTATTTGTACAACAATAAGAAGAAAATAAGCATAAGTACTCACTAATTTGAGTAGTAACTATTCACTCTTGTATAGTGGTGACCTTTTGATAATAGACAGTCATGTACTCACAGATAAAATTGTTAAAAAGAAAATTCTGGCAGTCTTCATTTTGTTACTTCCATGCTTTTGAATACTAAGCTTTGTGATTCTAATCTTGTTCTTTTGATGTGGGGGTTGGGTTTTTTGTTCTGCAGTTTCAGCTGCTAAGACAATAGACTCTACTTAGTATGAAGGCTCTGTTTTCATATGATGACATGCAGTAATTTTATGTCATCTTAGGACACGGTTTTATTAAGAGACAAAGAGAGAAAAAAGACTGCCTTTCTTTTTTACCCACGTGGTCTGAATCATTTCCTCTATGTTGTCCTGATAAGTGGACAGTTCTCTAGGGAAAGTATTTCTGTCTTCACAGAACAGCCCCCATTCTTTGCCCAGCCTGTATTGGTGCTTAGGATTGCCCCAACGCTTGTGCAGGACCTTGCATGTGGCTTCACTGAATTTCATCAGATTCACACAGGCCCACCTCTCAAGCCTGTCAAGGTCCATCTGGGTGGTATTTCTTCCCTTCAGTGTGTCAACTGTACCACCCCGCTGGGTGTCATCTGCAAACTAAGAATGAACTCAATCCCACTGTCCATATCACCAACAAATATTTTAAACAGCACTGGTCTGAACACTAACTGAGAAACGCTACTTTCCACTGGTCTCTACCCAGACATTAAGACATTGACTACAACACTTAGAGTGCAACCACCCAGACAATTCCTTATCCACTGAGTGGTCCACCCATCAAATCCATGTTTCTTTGATTTAGAGACAAGGATGCTGTGTCCACTAATGCTATAACTTTGTCATTGAAGGCCTCTTAGTTAGCCAGGCTCAATTTGCCTTTAGTGAAGTCAAGTTGTTACCAATCACCTCTGTTTTCCATGTGCACAGTTTCCAGGAGAGTCTGCTCCATGATCAAGCTGGGTACAGAGGTGAAACTGACTGGCCTGTAGTTATCCAGTCCTTTCCTTATTCCATTTTAAAAATGGAACTTATTTTTCTCCCTTTCCAATCAGTCAGAACTTCACTGGACTGCAACAACTTTTCAAATGTGATGGATAGTGGTTTAGCAACTTCATCTGCCAGTTCCCTTGGGACCTGCACTTCTCATCTCACCAGATCCCACGGAGCTGTGTACCTTTAGGTTCCTTAGGTGGGCTCAAACCTGATTTTCTCCTACAGTGGGTGGTTCTGCATTCTCCCATTTCCTACCTTTGCCTTCTGAGACTTGAATGGCGTAGCAAGAGCACTTGCCAGTGAAGACTGAGGCAAAAAAGCCATTGAATACCTCAGCTTTCTCCAGATCCCTGGTAACTGGGTTAACCAGGTCTGCCATTGCCTACTTAAGAGTGCTCACACTTTCTCTAGTCTTCCTTTCATCACTGAAATACTTACAGAAGCCTTTCTTATTGCCCTTGATATCCCTGGCTGGACTTAATTCTATCAGGCCTTCAGCTTTCCTAACCTGATCCCTGGCTGCTCCAACAATTTCTCTGGATTCCTCTCTGGCTACCTGTCCTTGCTTCCACCCATATTAGGCTTGCTTTTTGTGTTTGAGCTTGTGTGAGATCTCTTTGTTCATCCACGAAGGTCTACTGGTATTTTTGCCTGCCTCTCTCTTGCAGTTTTTGTTTTTCTTGACTTCTTTTTTTGGGAGGGGAGGTTGCTGTTTTTGTTGTTTGGTTGGTTAGTTTTTGTTTGTTTTGTTTTGTTCATGTATTTGAGCTTATTATTCATCTTAGTCCAGGCACATGGACAAAGTTTTAGTGTGGAACCTACTGTTCATACTCTGCTTTTTAATAATATGTTTGTGCTATAACTTACACTGTATAATGTGATCAGAAAAACAAACCCCAGGGCTTTCCTCTCCCAGGTGAGTGCTCAATGCATTGTGATTCAATTCCAACTGCTTTTCATTTATTATTATTCTGGTTTCAGCTGAGACAGTGTTAATAGCATGCTGATGTTTTGATTGTTTCTAAGTGATGGGCAGGTGATGAGACATGGCATTGCCAGCAAGGCATCAGTTAGTGAGCACTTGTACTGTTAGATGGGCATTGGTCAACAAGTGGTGAGTAATTGCATTGTGGAGATACATATATATATATATAGTTACCATTGCATTTTCTTTCCTTTTTCATTTTCTGTCTCAGTGAATATTTATTTCAACCCATGAGATATGTTTGTTTCCAGCTCCCTCCCTCAGCCCACTTGAGGTGGGGGTGTGCAAATGAATGGCTACGTGGCGCTTAGCCACATGCTGGGTTAAACCTAAATGATTTTGAAGTTCCAAGTGCTGTGAACTCTGAATTTCTGGAACTAAGTTACGATTGCAATTCAGATCTGCCACTGATCAGATCAGAGCTGTGAGAGAAATGATGAGTTCTGTGTCCTCCAGTTTTAAATGAAAAGTGAATCTGCTGCTATTTGCACTGGAGATCTTGATCCTGCTATGGCATGTGAAGACTTTGAAAATCATCTGGTAGGTTAAGATATTACAAAAAGAAGGAGGATTTAGTTTGAAAATGAGCTAGTACTGAGGCATGCAGATGGAGCCATTCTGAGCAGACATATGGCCTCACAGGACACTGAGGGAGAGCACAGGCTCCCTTAACATTCTGCTAATATACGTATTTAAGAGATATTTTTATGATATTTTCTGAGCACTGGAATTTAAATTCTCCCTCTGTTTTTTCTCTCTGTGTCTTTTTCAGGTTTGCTGTACTCTATTCTGTGTCATGAATTTGCATTGTGACAGGTGGGTAAACTTTCCCAGACTTACCAGGTATAGATCAGGTTAACTGAAGACAAAATGCCAGGTCTTCAACAAACTTTGCTGACTTTGTTAACTCTGGTAACCTAGGCTAGATGGAGATTGTGCTGTGAATCTAGGAGCCAGGAGCAGTTATAGCATGTAAGCAAAACATGCTATATTTGCATTAACTTAACTCTTGTTGGTTGGTCCATGTAGTCATAGTCCCTGTAGTCTAACAATAAGTGCAACTGTTTTTTGTCTGGCTGCAGCATAACTCTTGAGACTAGCTGCTTAATCAAGTATTTGTTATTTTACAGTGGTCTTTATCAAGCAGCACACATTTTAACCCTAGCTGAGATACATTTTCAAGACATCCCAAGTTTATAAGAATTTCTTGTAACTCTGAACTGCTTGAACTCTTGTTTATTTTGCATGTAGTAGTCATGTTTTTTTGGTCCCTTCTTTCAGCACATAATGTAAAATGCTGCATTCACAACTTAAAGACTGAATTTATGAGAGTCCAGTGTTGCTGGAATCCTAATGTACGCACACATAAATCATTAACGGAATTTTATTCTAGATAGTGAGTACTTTCAATCTCAAATATTCAGGATTTACCGGTATCCTAGATACAAATGCAGTTTAATGATGTTAATCACAGTTCTTGTTGAATCTTTCCATGTAAAACCCACACAAACAGGAAATAAAAATCGTATATTCACCAGACCCATTTCAGAAAGAAAATAATAATATAATGGATGTCTGATAAATACATTCCAGAAAATGCAGCCAGAGGTGTAATTTCTTCAAATTAATGCATTCTACCTTGTTCCTTGTTGGGAGCGGGGTGCGGGGGGAGGGGGTAGATTTTACACTAAAAGTCATTGTACTAAAATTCCAGGTCATTGAAAAAACATTGTTTTTAAATCTGTTGGTTTCAGTCCCACACATGAACCCCATCAGTCTTATTTTTTTGGTAGGTATAATCAATTTTGAATGTGCATTATGCTGAATAAATTGTATGACGTCTTATGCTTTATAGGAATTTGTATCCATCTACTTTGTTTCATTTTTTTTTTCCTGGTAGAGTGATATGTTAAGCCATCCTAAGGAGAGGAGAAAAGACCAAGAGAAACACCAATGTCTGCAAAGTAAAATTTCGTTATTAAAATAACAGTGAGCCACAATTTTCTGGCAGTAATTGGAGGTATTTGACAGTGGAGCCCGAGAGGGAGAGATTCAGGCATTTGGGAACAGGCCAGAGAAGAGAGCATTTTAAAAAAGAAGTGCTGAAACAAGCTATTACTGAACGTCTGGGTTTCTGTTTGCCCGAATTCTCATTACTTATTAAGAGGTGAGAAGCTTGCAGAGAACTGGGAGAGGTTGTCCTTAAGAAGACAGGAGCCTGAATTTATTTTTAAGACTAACCAGCTAAACAGCCTACTTTTAAATTTAAAAAGCAAAATTTTAGATGTTATTAAGCTTATCTCTGCCACAGCTTTGACAAATTTGTCTGATGGTAATGCTCCAAAGAACATCAAATACAGAAGCTCACAAAAGTTGAAATGTACCTGGAGTTAATATTCTAACTCAGATTCAGATTGAATTTGTCTTCAACACCTAAATACCCAAAAGATAATTCACCCTGCTTCCTATGAATGTACTGGTAATAAAAATCATATCAGTGTTTTATATGCTGCCCTGTAAACACTCTAAGAAACCTGTTATGGTCTTCTAAAAAGAATTTTAAAAAAAATTGTTACAGAAAATATCAACCTTACAGTCTTTTTACGAAACTGAAATTTGAACACAGCTCAAGCCTGTTGACTTATCTATGTCTTTACACCATTGCACCTTCCACTAAAATTAATGAGATTAAATGTTGTGTGTATAGTTAAGAGCATGTATAAAGTCTTCATTATGTCAAAGACGCTTAGTTATTATTATTTCTTTTTTTTAGACTGCTCTGTCACTTTTTGGAAAGAGGTAGGTTTAAACAGGGAATTGTGGGTTTTTTTGTTGTTGTTGTTTGTTTTGTTTTTCTTTTGTACAGAGGTTTAAAACAGATGTATCACAGAATGTTTTAGGTTGGAAGGAACCACTGCAGAACATGTGATCCAGTCCCCGCCCCAGCAGGATTTTGGGCAATGTCCAGGTGGCTCTGGGAGATCCCCAAGGAGGAGGTCCCACAGTGTCTGGGGCAGACTGTGTCAGTACTTCATCACTGCACAGCACAGAAGGGCTCCTTGTGTTCAGAGGGAATGTTCCATTCTCCAGTTTGTGCCAGTTGCCTCTGATCCTGGCACTGGACACCACTAACAGGAGCCTGGCTCCATCCTTCATGTACACTGATAAGATCTGCCCCTGGAAAAACCATACTAAATAGTTCCAACCCTCTCAGCCTCTTCTCATAGAAGAGATGCTCCAGCCTCTTGATAATTTTGGTGGCAAAAATGGATCTGTTGGATCTGCTTCACTATATCCATTTGTCCCTTGTGCTGGGGGACCCAGAAGTGTACATATTATTCCAATTGCGTTCTCACCAGCACTGAGCGGAGGAGGTAAGGATCACCTCCCTCCACCTGCTGACAGTGCTTTGCCTAATTCAGCCCAGGTTACTGTTGACTTCCTTTACCACTGGGGCACACTGCTGACTTTTTGCTCAACTTGGTGCCTACCAAGACACCCAGGTCTTTTACTGCAAAACTATTTTCTGACCAAGAAAGCATAGCTGTGATTTCATACTAGATTTCTTCCTCCCCATGTACAAGAATTTGCATTTCTCCTCATTGACCTTCTTGAGGCTTCTGTCATCCCATCTCTCCAGCCTGTTGAGGTCTGTCTGGATGGCAATATGGCAATATGGAGAGTCAACTCTCCCCAATTTTGGGTCATCTGAAAATGTACTGAGGGTGCACTCTACCCTGCTGTCTAGGTCACTGATGGAAATCAGTGGTAGTGATCCTGTATAATACAGGATTGAATCCATTGTTGATCCCCGTAGAACAGCACTCATTACTGACCTTAAGTTTAATTTTGAACCTCTGACCATCACTCTCTGGGCCTGGCAGTTCACCCAGCTTTTGATCTTCTTTGTCTGATTATCAAGTCCTTTCATCAACAGCTTCTAGATGAAGATATTATGAGAGACAGTCTCAAAGACCTAAGCCTAAGCCTGGGAAGAATCTGGTAAAGAGTGAGTCAAAGAAGATCAGTACCTTCAGTACCTTTTCATTGTTATCAGTAACCAGATCTACCATTTCCTCCAGCAGAAGTCCAACGTCTGGAAATACAGGGCAGCAATCACAGCTATATTGCGGCATGGTTGGTGCCCTGGCTGATCACACCTGGGACAGTCAGGAGAGGAGATGGTTTTTCTCCTCCTTTTCTCTCACCTTTGTTAGAGCACAACTTGGGACATGGCCAAGCAGTGACTGCCTCCTGGTCACACTTTCTTTCCACAAACTTCCAGCCGTGCTGGTCTTCATCTTGCTTGTAGTGGGTGAGGATTCCTGCAAATAGCATTTTGCCACTGGTGAATCACAGGCTCTTTCCTTTTTTTCCCTCCTGTATGTTGGTTTTCCTACACTGTGTGATACGTATCTGTTCATATTTAACTCCTCTGCTTCTGCATGGGAGATCTGCTCACAGGTAGAAGGGATAAAGAACTGTTAATGCCAGAATCCTTTATACTCTGCCATATGCTTTTTGGTTGGTTGGTGGTTTTGTTGTTTTTTTTTGTTTGTTTGTTTTGTTTTGGCCATTCTTTTTGTTTGCTCTTCACTGAATCACAGAATCATAGGAACTAGAATTGATCAACCCTTCTGCTAAGACAGATTCCCTGCAGTAGCCGCACAGGAAAAGTGCCAGGGTTGTTTTGAATATCTCCAGAGAAGGAGACTCCACAACTCTCTGGGCATCTTGTTCCAGTGCTCTGTTACCATCACAGTAAAGAAATTTTTTCTCATGTTTTCTTCCTTTTTTCCCCAGTTGTTGCTGTCTTGTAAAGTTCAGAGCAATTTGCTTTCGCAAGTTCAGGAAGAGGTGACTGGCTGAAAAAAAAAATCATACAGAAACATTGAACTGAAATTACTTTCCTTTATGATAATATTTGAATTGATCCTAATAGAACTACTGCAGAAAAGGGACAATTTTCCTCGCATAAATGCCAGAGTTACTTATAACATTTTCAGTCTGATGATGTACTTAACTTTTCTTGAGGCTCTATTGAATGTGAGAATGTCTGCAAAGAAAGAGATCAGTAAGAACTGACCTTAATGTGTCTACAATGCACTGTAAAAAAATAAAGTGATTTAAGTTACTGCTACCAGAGTTACAGCTATTAGTTTGGGTAATACGCTGGGAATTACTTCTAGTCTCAGGACAAGTAATTTAAAATATCTGAGGAAAGGTTAATGATCCCAGGTAAGGATTCAGCAATGAAAATAAAGAAGAACAGGCAGCTCCTGCAAAAGACATTCTGGAGGCAGGAATAGGTAACAAAGAAGAAAAGAATTTCTGTTGTCAGCAAAATGCTGCAAAGGAGACAAAATTTTACAAATTGGTCAGATGTATTGAGGTGGGAACTCTTCTGGCCTAGAAATTCCTTCTTTCAAACAAAATTCATCAATTTTCCTTAATTAATTAATTGGAATTTATTTATTGTATTTAGAGGGAAATGCACAGTCCTTTCAGCTACTGCTGGTATGAGTCAGTCGCAATGTCTCTAGAGATTCCATTGCTGCATAGTCCCACTGTAGCCCTCCTCTGTAACCAAGACCTTTGCATAAGAGCTGCAGCAGAGCTATTCTTTAACCTTTTCGTAAGGAAATGTTTAAGGAAATGTGCACTGACATCTGGGTAAGTTATACCCTCTCAGCCATCTGTATCAGGGAACTAACAAGTCATTTCCACTGTTACCAACTCATTTCACACTTTTATATACAGATAATTAAATCAAGCACAGGTCTTCAGTCTAAAATCTTTTGGTGTATAATTATGTACCAAAGGAAACGCCCAAAAAAGTGAGACTGTTTTTGAAAAGTTGCAAACATGGATTTGCCAATAATTATGTTTTTAAATCCTTTAGTTCGAAATCTCCAGCTTTTAATGCAAGAATGTGCATATCTTTAGGAAGAGGGCAAATAGAGAGAGAAGAAAAAGGCTTCTAAAAAGCAGCTAGTCCTGTGCGCAGAGGGACTTCCAAAGCTTAATTTCCTGAGGTCTTGTGACCTTTACTTGTCACTTAAGTCAGTGTAAATTCCAAATAAGTCTTTCCTGCTTTTGTGTGAATTCAAACATCTCTTTCCTGGTATCATTGATGTCTAATGGTTGATGTAACTGCTCAGACTTTCATCAGCAAGCTGAAGTCTTTTGCATCTACTCCTGTGTTTATCTCATGAAATGTGAACTCTGTGCTCCACACTACTCTTCACAGTGGCCAAATCTGGCTGAAATTAGTCAACAATTGCAGGAATTATTAGTTGGAGATCAACAGGCATTTACATAGCATGAACCAGAGCCATTGATAGTACGTCTATTAAATGAAAAGCAAAACATTTCATAACAAAGTATTAATGCATATATTCCTTGAGGGAGTTGTTGAAGGTACATGCAGGTCTTCGACAGTTGCTCTTTCACCTCATTATGTTTTCCATTTTGAGTGTTCCTACCTATTTTATCTGTTAGTGCCAGCGTTGTCACCATTATTAGTGAGGATATTGAGAAAATCTGACTCATATAGCCTGCTCTCTATCTTAGTTGTTGTTTCTAACGTGATGTACAAGTTGTGACTCTACTGATGCTGGTGCTTCAAGTTGTTTTCTTTTCCTATTTTTCCAGGAAAGAAGTGGGAATATGAAGAATAAGAGAGAGAAGAAAAACTTTGAAAGGTCAAGAGTATTCTTGAGGACAGGAAAAAAATAATTACTATACATTAAAAAATAGTAATCTACTTTTTTGCTGGAAAAACAATTCTTTTCAAATTTCAATTTGTCAAAAATTACCTGACTTCTAGAACATACAATTCATTAACTCACTCCATACCAGTAAGCTGAACAACTACAACATCTAAAGATTCAGAAAGACCGTGCATCATCTTAGTTTTTGTCAGAGGGGGTATTTCTTTCAAACAACACAGTCAGTTGTTCCATGTAATGTTCTACAAGACTGTTCTTTCACTTTACTTTTAATTCTAACATATCTGCTTTTTATTTAGCATCCAGAGAGAACCTTTGTTCCCTACAACAGGCAACAATCCTGTTGCTATATCTGATGAGAAACTTGTTAAGAGCAAAAAGCAAAGGAAGAGCTGATGGATTTGGAAATTCAGGGCTTTCTGAGAATTAGCAATAGAAGAGCTGCAGATGAAGCCCCTTGTGTAAGGGAAATCAACTGGATAACTGGTGGCTGAGAAAGAAATGAGAGGGGTGAAGAATGAATCAGAAAAGCTAGGAAGAAGTGGTTGAGTTGGTATTAAACTGGTATTTGGAGGATGATATGTCCTCGGATTCAGCTTTAAATTAATACTTGAAAGATTGAGATCAAAGCCAAATATTGATCCAAAGCCAAACATCCGTCTTTGTGAAAGCATGAAGGCTTTAAACAGTATTGCAACAAGCTTCCAAGAAATACTTAATAGAGAATGATGGATAGACTGGCTCAAGTCTGTTTTCACTTTTGCATAAGAGCTGAGAGAAAATGTAATCCCCAGTCTGGTATTCTCTCTTCTCTTTAAATGCATGACATAAATTTAAGCATAAGAAAAAACTAAATTAAGTACATTAAATTCTAAAATAAAAAATGTTGCAGATACATGTTAACAAAAAAAAAAAAAAAAAAAAAAAAAAAAAAAAAAAAAAAA